GAAAAAGGGGGGGGGGTAGGAAAGGGGGGGGGGTAAGAAACAAGGCGAAATAGCGGCGCCGTATACGCAGGCAGAGGATAGCCGGAGGGAGGAGCCGTGCTGGCTCCTGTTTGGGAGCACGGAAGAGGCGGTCGGCCCCAGCCCTTGCCGCCAGTCCTCGCCAACTTCTTGGGTGGCATCGTCAGTGGCTCTAGAGACGGTGTGTGCGTGTGTGTACGCGTGTGTGTGTGTGTGTGTGTGTGTGTGTGTGTGTGTGTGTGTGAGGGAGAGATAGAGAGAGTCTGTGTGTATGCGTCTTCTCCACCTCCAGCCCAAAATGCCATCCCCCATCACCGTGCTGCCGCCTCCCCCTCCCAGCCCTCTCACATCCCTTCCCTCAACTCGTCGTAGCGGGAGTGGGAGTGGAGTATGAGTCGGTGCTCATGGTTCACCTATGACCAAAGAAGATGACCAAAGAAGATGACCAAAGGGGATAACCGAAGGGGATAACCAAAGGTCCCCTCCCCCCCCCCAAAGGTGACTTCCCCGAAGGGACGAAGTTGATTCGGGGAGGAACACCCCTTTGGTTCTTCCCCTAGTATCACCTCCCACCAAACCCAAGCCCCTCCCAGGATTGAGCCTACCTGAACCGTGGGTCGGTCGGGTCCATCGCGTTGAGGAACTTGCCTACGTGCATGGTCCGGTATCCTGCTTTCTGCAGCCACACGGGCAGGTAGTCATCATCCAGGCGCTGAGACATGAATTTCCAAAAGCTGCCTGCGAGGGTAGGGATTAGGGTTTTAGGGTTAGGAGGGTTAGGAGGGTTAAGAGGGTTAAGAGGGTTAGGAGGGTTAGGAGGGTTAGGAGGGTTAAGAGGGTTAGGAGGGTTAGGAGGGTTAGGAGGGTTAAGAGGGTTAGGAGGGTTAAGAGGGTTAGGAGGGTTAAGAGGGTTAGGAGGGTTAGGAGGGTTAAGAGGGTTAGGAGGGTTAAGAGGGTTAGGAGGGTTAAGAGGGTTAGGAGGGTTAAGAGGGTTAGGAGGGTTAAGAGGGTTAGGAGGGTTAAGAGGGTTAGGAGGGTTAAGAGGGTTAGGAGGGTCGGATGACGGGCGAGAGAGGGATGCGGGATGGAAGGCCCCGTAACCAGGCTGGGCTCCAGGGCGCGGCAGATGAAAATGCATATGAATTCATAGATTTACGGATCATACAGAGGGGTTTGATAGCGCAAAGGGAAGGGCCGCGTGTTGCAGTGTGAGACAAGAAGGCAAAAAGAGGCCATGCGCCATGCCGTACTGGGGCTCTTAGAGGCCTCCCCTGGGTTTAAAATTTGGGCCTGTAGCGGCTTTCTCTCTTTTTAATTTACTTTTTCATGAAGATGTAGCCTCGGTTGTGCGTCGTTTCGTTACTTCCTGACAAAATCATTTTGACTTGAAGGATTTAGCGGCCAGCCCCATTCCAAGAACATCCAGCAATGAGATCCCACGGAAAAACTGGAGCAAAGGCGCCAACTCTATTCTTGGTCGGCTCGCAGGCCTCCCTTGCACAGCCACCGAAGAAGCTACAGCAGCTATGCCGACTCAGAGGCTCAGGGGCTCCACCCCCAGCAGCCGAACCGACCCAGTCCGCCCTGCCCTCCCCGCATCCCTTAGCCCGTGGCCCTGGCATCCAATTCCCGACACGTCCACTGCTGCCGCCGCTGGTGCTGGTGCTGGTGTACGTCGTTGTGTCGCTCACCATGAGCTGCGTGTGAACATCACTATTCACACGCACCGCGCGGCACGTATGGTGCCTCCCCTCCCCGACCTCCAACACACTTTGTTTGCTGATACATACAGGTAAACTGTACAGCAAGCTGGGCCACAGCGGGCTCCAGGGACGTCCGCCAGCCCCGCCGCCAC